GGAGATGGCTCAGTGGAATAAGCGCTTGCCTGGCAAGCTCAGGGACCTGAGTTCAATCCCCGGTTCCACAAAAAAAAAAAAAAAAAAAAAAGTACATACATGACAGCAAGTTGAGGGGCGATGGATCACATGAGCTTACTTGGTCCCGTAGGACCCAGCTTACTTCTGTGCAACCCAATCCAGTCTTGAGAGAACTGCCCCATTTATGAGAGCTGTGTCCCTTGGCCGAAACACCTGTAGATTCTGCCTGTTAAAGGCCCGGCCCCTTATCAGTATTTTCAACGTGGGGACCAGATTTCAGCACATGAACCTTTAGGAGACGGACCGTGCCTAGACCGTGACATATGTATCAAAGCCATATATATGAACCTCCTTTTAAAACTGAACTGAAGCCTGGCTTTATACGACCATGTGGCTTGCTTCTTTGTTCTGTTGGTCTTACTGCCATGACAGTATAGGTCACATTTTTGGGCCCTAAGTGTTTATTCGCATGCCAACCCCAGCTGTTTAGCCACAGCTACTTGAAGGGAGTGCTGCCTCTGGCTCTGTTTCTATCCCTCGAGCCATACCTAGAACAGTATATGCCAAGGACTAAGTACAATTTTGTGGGAAAGAGAGGGTAACAGAGGATGTTTCATTCGAGGTAACTTTTATGGAAAAATAAAGTGGTCGGAAGTCTAATGTGTTCATAGACCTTCCAAGAGTTCATTACTGGACATAGAATATATGAGGCTCATATTTGCAGATGCCCCTCAGGTAAAAATCACAGGGTAGGGAGCCCTGAAAAGTCATTGAAAGGAGCAAACAAAACTGCTTAGATCAGTATTTGGATACAATTGAGTAGAAGATGTTGATTAAAACACTTGAGTAAATGGGATCTTTTGGTCTTTGGTTAAATTTTATTCTAGTGTGTGAATAAGTACTGAAAGTCATTAGTGTTCATTTATGCCTGCATTTATTGAAATACAGTTTTTGTAGTGACAGTATTTTTAAAGGTTAGCATATGAAAAGAATATTCTAAGTAAACTATCATTACCTTAATCATAGCTGTTGCTTCAAGGCTTGCTTGTAGCCTTACATGTAAGCTTATGTTGGTATGGTTCTGATTTGTGAATTACAGAAGTAATCATACTGCTTATTGACTTATTTTCTAGTAAAAGACCGTATCATAACAGAAAAGTTCTCGGTGCGTTTGGCTTTTCTTCGTTTCCTGATGTATCTGTGCATGCTTGGTGTTGTTACTCTTCTTTGTGTGTTTCACTGTTGATATGTCAGGATCTTTCTCAATTGTGTTTTGTTTGCTGTGAATGTGCACATAGATCTGACCAAAGCATTTCAGTCCATTTGTATTTGTCCTCTTTCTTTTATGCCCTTGTTTTTACTTCCTTTCTCTGTGAATAGTTGGCCTTGTTTTTTTTCCCTATTGTTCTCATTTTCAGTGCTTTTTTATCTTTCCTTTTCTCTCCTGCCTTTAAACTGAATGTTATATAGAAATGACCATTCTGGATGAAATGAATAAAAAAAATGTAAAACATTACAGAATGTCATCTAATCCATGGCATTCTCTTCTGTTAAATGAAGAAACAGCCAGATTATAATCATCACTGATAAAATGACTATCATCCCATCACTAAATGAGGAGTCTTGGAATCATCAGATATTTATTGTTTTTCTTTATCACCAAAGCATATTTGTTTTTCCTCCAATGATATTCTATCATTATATCTTTTCTCCATTCTCAATGTTGCTTCACTGGTTCAGGCCCCCATATTTCATGTTTGCCAGCAAAATGGCACCTCATCCTAACGTCCCTATTATCTCATCCACTGTTTCCTTATTTTCTAAGCCACTCTACACTGCACACCCTGCCAAAGGCATCTTTATTGTCCTTCACTCTTTAAAATTCATGTTCCTTTTCTTTGCCTGAAGTTAAATTTGAAACTCAGCATCCTGGTAGCCTGCCTGATTAGCTGAGTTTCTTATATTCATCCATAGCTCTAGGCACGTTGAGTAGGACTTCTGAGTTTTTGGATATGTTCCTTTTCTCAAATGTTCCCTTTTATTCTGCTTACCTGTAGAACTCCTGCTAATGAAACCTCGTGTTGTCATAAAAGAGAATGAGTCAGTTCCTTAGCACTCTGCTACTAGTTGGGCTTGTGAAGGTGGCCTGTATTTGTGGCAGAAAAGCATTCTTTTCTATTTCCTCTTAGCTCTTATTTCCTTGCAGTGTTCTGATGAATGGCACTACATAAAAGTTCAAGCAAGACTCTCTCTACAACAGAAGTGGTCAAACAGCCTTCTCATCAGCTTCTCTTTGCTTTTATCCATACTGGGTCCCACCAGACTAATGACAACAGACAGCATAGAAATCTAAGCTCAAGGATAAGAACTCTGTTTTTTTGTTTGTTTTTGTGACCTAAGAATGAGAGCAGAATTGGCTATTTTGCTTTTCTCCTAGAGCACACCCTGTTCTGATCAGTTTTGGAAGAATAAGAGTGAACATTAAATAGTGCCTCAGTTACCTTTCTCTTGTTTTTGGGACAAAATACCCGACACCCACAATTAAGGAAGGAAAGGTTTATTTAGCTCACAGTTTGTGGAGGTTTCAGTCTGTATTCAGCTGGCTCCAAGGCAGAGTGGCACATGGCAGAGAGCAGCTGTTCATGGCCACCCAAAACAGCAAAAGCAAAAGGGAGGAGTAGGGGCAGCAGTGGCACCAGAGAGCAAGTCTGTCTCCCTTATGTTGCATTCAGGCTATCTGCCCCAGCCCATGTGTAGCACTCACACCCAAATCCCACTATTGGATCATGAATTCATCATAAACTCTAGAAGTCTGCCCCATAACTTCATAAGGCTTTGGGGAGACAACCAGACACAAACTGTACAGAGAGGATGTAAGGAAGAGACCTCAGATACGGGAAAGAGGAGAGAGGAAAGAGGCACAGAGCAAAATAATCCCACCACAGATCTACTTTTTTAAAATCAGGGGGTTGGGCCAGGGAGAAAGCTCAGTAGAACAAGTGCTTGCCTGGCAAGGCGCAAGGCCCTGAGTTCAATCCCCGGTACAGGAAAAAAAAAAAAAAAAAAAAAATCAAGAAGTTATCAGTAGATATTTATAAGTGAAAATGAGAAAGGCTGTATAGATTTTTGGAAACAAAAGATGACTGACTGTTAGGTTGAGATTTTATTGATGACTGAAAATGCACTGAAGACCTGTCAGTGTAAATGAGGGTACTTAGTATAAATGGAGTTGGCTGAAGGAGAAGAGGCTATCATTTATTAATGTTCATGCAAATTAATCTTCATAGAAATGTAGGAGAAAGCATTATTGTTAACATTTAATAGATGAACAAACAGACGCGGCTGCTGATGGGCCAGTCTAAGATTGTAGACCTTCTAAGTTGCTAGGATAGAATATGAAAGTAGGTTGCTTGACTCTGCAAGATAAGTAGTGCTTCCAGTTTAACTGGTTATCATTACAACTTTGACTTATCATATTTGATGGATAATTAGATGAATATATGTGAATATATAAGTTTAATAATCTTGATATTATTGTACACTGTTTCCCCTTCCTCAAATTCTCTTTAGAGGGATCAGATCAGAACTTGTTAAAATTCTAGAATATAATCTTGCATTTTGTGTTTTAGGACAAGTGATAAGAGGAAAAACTTGGCCAAGCAAAAAGCAGAGGCTCAGAGGAGGCTTTATGGGCAGAATTCAATAAAAAGGCTCTTACCAGGTTCCTCAGATTGGGAGCAGCAGAGGCACCAGCTGGAGCGGAGGAAAGAAGAGCTGGTAGGAGTGTTTTGCTTTATTTACCTGGTGGTGCTAGGGAGCGACCCTGGGGTCGGGTGCATGCCGGAGAAGCGCTCTCTCCGTGCACCACATCCTCTGCCAAGTAGGAGCATTGCAGCAGAGTTTCTACCATTTATACAGAATGATGCATTTATCAGGTTTTATTTGTAAAATTTCCTCATTTCTAGAAAGAGAGACTTGCTCAAGTACGAAAGCAGATTTCACGAGAAGAACATGAAAACCGACATATGGGGAACTACAGGTAAGGATGCTACCATTTTTGTGCAGATTGAAGGCATGAAGGGTCAGAGAAGTCATTCTTTAGCCTTTTAGACTTATTTTAAGAATTGTTTTTTTCTGAGAATGTGCTTTTTGCTTTGTATTTTCAAGATAGAAAAGATAGTCAGCAAATGATTTTGACTTGAGCCCTCTTGCGCCTTGGGGTGCAGTTGAAAGTCTTTATAACCAGATTATATTTCATTAGTACCTGATATTTTAAGAAAGTGAAAATTTAGGTGTTTTTTTTTTTCCAATTTATAGTGGTTGCTGTACTTTGCTGTAACCCCAAATGCTCAGGAACCAGGCAAAATTAGAAAATATTTGAAAGAGCTAGGTGTAGAGACAAGATAAGTGTGAACTATGTGGCCCTGGAGCCCTTCCCATTACCATCCTTGACAAGGGACAGAGGTGGAGCCTGTAAGTTCCTTGGGTTCCAGGTAATGCTACCTTCCGCCCAGGCTTTGACATTGCCTATGCAAGAGGGAGGGCATAGAGGTCCTTAGCTTGTAAGATGTTCTTTTGTGGCCATAACACTTGTAGAAGAGAGCCAAACACATCCCTTTCACCCTACCTCTACCCCCTTCTCACTGTGTCACCTCAAAATAGATGATCATAACTGATACCGTATGCTTGTGTGCATTAGTAATTTCAGTGAGTCAGAACTTCTGTGCTGTCTAGCAACTGAATGCTCTTCCATAATTTGCCCAGTTTGTCCAATTACCATTTTTTCTACCCTTTTCAACTAAATCCTTATATCTTCTAGGACTACATTCTTTAATGGTACTTCTCTAGACAGAATTTAATTTGTGTAGGAGACACCAGAAAAGTTTTTAATTTTGAATAATTGTTCATCTTTATTTCTAGCACCTAGTAAAACAGTTCTCACAGAAAGAGAGATAAATGGTTATCCAAACCGCTGTCTTAACAAGTGAGCGTAATATCTTCTCTTTCTTTTTTTCTTTTGATGAATATTTTTTTCTATGATTTTTTTTTAACAAATAACACAGTGCATATATTCTTCTTAGTGGTTAATTGCTGTACAAGATGCAGACGTGAGATCCTATTTACAAACACCATTAGAACAAATCATTCTAT